TGTTCCCGGCTTTGTCTGTAGTGCATCCAGGTGCCACCAGAGTGCACCAGACCCTCCAAGTTACAGTAACTTTAGCCGTGCATGTAATGATAAACCTTTGTTTATTCATTTTGTTGTAGCATAAGATCGTGAAATTGAGACAATGTGCATTGAGAAAAATAAACATTTCCTTGAATGTTAGAACAATACCAGACTGAGGAGCCGCCTGAATTATTTTTGGCCTAAACTCTTTCCTATATGTGTGTCTTTATCAGCTATCCATGATTTTTCTGTATTTCCGCTTATAACTTCTGAACCTGTTTTACGATATTCTGACACGAATATTGTACCACTAGAAGCCATCTTAGTTAGTTAGTTACTTATTTAGAGAGGGTGGGTTTCCCCATGCACCGCGACCAGTTTGATCTATTGTGCTTCCCTCTATGATATTCTACCAGTCTCTATACCCTACCGATAAATGGTGCGTACCATCAGTCCCGCCGAGCAAGCGAGTTCGGCCACTTGCTTAGCGGTGTCTATAATGCTTCCCCCATCTATCGGAGGCCTTAGAGACTATTGTTGGGCGGGAAACGTCCTGGAATTTGGCTCAGTGATCCCCTTTGGGGATATGAGGTTCTTTTACGTGCCGTAAAGTTACGACACGGGACACACAGCTTAAAGTCCCTCCCGGAGGACTTGTTCCCTGAATTTTTCCGCCCTTAAAAATTCGACGACCTCCGCCGGGTATTTGAACCCGCGTACCACGAATCATGAGGTGGGAACGTTACCTCTAGACTACGGAGGCCGCTTTAGAAGCCATGTTACTTTGCAGTTTTAGTTTCTCACAAAGAAGAACAGTAATAGCGTGGAGGAGGCATGGACTTACGTGGTCAGGCCGTCAAACCATGAGAGTGATTATTTGTGGTCACTGAGTTTACACATGTATAGGTAAATTCAGTAGATATTAGCATTGTTAGTGGTTTTGTCAATATTATTATAAACAGGAAAATAAATAAAGAATTGCTTTGTTTCAATATTATATAATGATATATTTAAAATTTTGATATTTTCTTTGTGATACATTTTATACCAAATGTTCTTTCAGTAATTAAAATACAAAATATATATATTGATTCTAAATATACAGCACATTTTACTATTATCTCTTATCGATAATAACTTTGATTTTATTGAAATATTATTATTGTGAGTCTTGTTTTTGTTATTATTATTGTCCCACGGAAGGGCTTGATTACTCAGTTGGTTCGTCAGGTGTTATGTTGGTTGCCTAGATAGACAGTGATTTACTTACAGTGTAAACATATTTGTTTCAGAGTGCAGATGCCATTTCAGAAAGTAAACACTTAATTAGCTTTCTTAAAATTTTAAATTAATTTTCTCAGCCGAAGATATTTTAACGTTGTTTACTCGAGAATAGTTAAGCCTTGATCTACTTAAGTCTCTTCAAATAAATAAGCCCACTTTTCGAGATATTTTCTTGAAAGCTTAAAGCCACTCCAGAATTTCAGTTCATTTTCAGCATCCTCGTAATTGGATCATTACTGTAATCTATTTTAATTGCAATCCTTTTTACCTTAGCTACCAACCTCAGGTCTTCATAACTTGTACTCTTATCCGAGTATAATTAGAATGATGAAGTCAAGGAGGATGAGGTGGGCACAGCATGTAGTTCGAATGGAGGATATTGGTGGCAAAGCCAGAAAGAAGGAGACCACTGGGAAGACCAAGGCGTAGGTGGGTGGACAATATTAAAATGGGTCATAGAGAGATAGGATGAGATGGGATGGATTGGATTGTTCTGGCTCAGGATAGGGACCTGTGGAGAGCTCTTGTGATCACGGTAATGAACCTTCGTGTTCCATAGAATTGTGGGAAATTCTTGAGTAGCTGCGGATTTGGTTGCTCCTCAAGAATGGCTTAGCTCCATAGGTAAGTAAGTAAGTAAGTACCAACCTCAGGAATCAGGCCTCTCCTTAAGAAGCAAATAGTTATGCAGCTACGAAAAGAGTTCCGAGCCCTCACTGGAACCTGGATTTATATTACCGGTGCAGCAACATTACGCCATTTGACCCTATCCTGTTCCAGGCAAGTGCAGACACGGTCCCACCCAATTTCTATGAGACATATTTTATATTAACCCTCCATCTAAGATTAAGTGTCCCACGTGACTTCCGTTCAGGTGTTACAACCAAAATATTGTGTTCTTTTTTCATCTCTGCTGTTCGTGCAATGTTTCAATGTTTCTGCCCAATTTTACTCTCCAAAATTTGATTATATTTGGATGACAGACCACATTATGAAGTCGCCCCTTCCGAATTCTATGTCGTTGTTAATAATGGGAAACGAGTGAAACCAGGTTTCAAGAATCGGAAATTAGGAACTGAAATGCATCGATTTCTTTCCAGGTAATAATATTAACACCAAAAATCTGATATTTTGACAGTACAGTAAGAGGGCGTCAGTGGTTATATTAGATTTGTGACAAGGGTTCTTGACTGAACCGTGATATAGGACTATAACCTGTAAAATATACTGCTTATAGATTTTTTTTTCCTTGGTACTACAGCCCCAGTGGGCCTAGGCCTACCTCCATGAACTTCTCCGTTCACTTCGGTTTTTCTAGATTTTACACGTTCGATAGGACTCCTTGGGCGGGTGATCAGCTCGTCGCAAGGCCTCTACCTGTACACAAACACAGAAAAACGCACATATACACACAAACACCAATCATCCATGCCTTGAGTGGGATTCGAACCCACGATCACAGCTTCAGAGCGAGCGACGACAGTGCATGTCTTAGACCGCTCGGCTACCGTGACCGGCGCTTTAACTGTTACATACCTCGTAAATCACCCTGATATCTATCCCGTCGTCTTTAAAATGAAAATCTCCTTATTTTTCTCACAATATTTATTTGTGGGTTTCGTAAGATTTACAAAATAAACTGCAATTCTTTATGTTTAAAACCTTAATAGTTTGGTCTTTGTAGTGAAGACGTAAAGTGTTTTCTGTGTAGAACAAATTGGACTTTTAAACTGCATTTGTATAAACTTCATATTGCAAATGATTAGACGAAATATAATCTGACATTATTAGTGCCGCTGAAAGAATGTTTTATAAGCTGAAGAGTAATCCAGTGCATTACTTCTGTCTTCTGTGTAGTACCAATGTTAATTTTCTGGGTTACGATGTCTTGTAATTATTCAAATGGTACCAAACTTTCGAAAGGATGTGCTGCCCCTAATTTCCGTATGAAAGTGTATCTAACTACCAAAATACACGGCTTCATATCCAGCGGATTATAATCTTTATATTTACAGCCGCGATAATCTGTAATTCCGCTGAAGATGAACACGCATTTTACGATACCTGCTTAAGATTGGAAGCTGAAAGAAGTTAAGACCTCGAACCGGAAGAGAAACAGCCATCGAGATACCAGAGTCCGGTACAAAAAGATAGAGAAAGAAATGAATGGCATGTCAGCACTCCATTGTGCCGTGTAGTATTGTAACTCATCCAATTCTGACCAATCATTATCTCGCATTTCCTATTGTACTGTTAGTGAAGATTCTCTGACAATGCAGTAAAATACATTTTAACTTTAGTTCCATTTAGCTTAGTAAAGATGAAGCAACCTGAAAGCTTAATGGGTACAAAACAACGAAACAATTAGTCATGTTCAGCGAAGGCGAAAAAATAGGAAAATATACTTTTAATGAATCACTTGAACCGTTAGTTTTTCCACGTCTTGTTGAACAGAATAAATTCCCTTCGTATTGTATCGGTAAATATAGATGTCCCATATCCCTGTATATTCACCACTTCTCTGTGTATGAGGGCGTCGACCCACACACGGACGAGTTTGGCTCATTGGAATACAAGCCGAGTCGGACTCGTCCGTGTATGGGCCTCCTTACGTGCCGGCCGCCCTTTGACCTAGTACTCATTTCTGTTAGAGGCTGAATCGACCCCAGGGCCATAGTGTGGCTGGAAGGGTTAGGTCAAATGAAAAATCCACCTCATCGGGCCTCATAAAATTGTGCTTAGTTAACTAAGCACAGGGAGAATTTCATTTTCTTTAATGTTATATTTTAGCGTCCTGTTGCACTGATTTATGTCCATGATTTATTCTGACCGTCTTACAGTGCATACATCTATTCACCTCACTCTTCTCTCTTGCACTACATGTTTCAGCACCAAAGTGCCATCTTCAGGTGCTTTTTAATAATTAAAATTTATCATTATATATGACGAATATATATTTTAGCCATTTTAGTATAAAGACAACAAGGCATGCAATGAAATAGTTCGACGTACATAGAAAAGCACCTGAAGATGGCACTTTAGTGCCGAAACATGTAGTGCAAGAGAGAAGAGTAAGGTGAATAGATGTATGCACTGTAAGGCGGTCAGAATAAATTATGTTCAATTTCTTTATTCGTGGAATGTGGTAATACTGAGTTCAACTGTTACACCGGCTACTAGTGGTCCTAATATAGCAGTCCCCTCATGATAGAGGAGCGTACAGCATTCTCTGCAATGATAATGTGCAAGGCAAGGAAGTAGAGCTCCATCATTCATATCTTAGACACTAAATGGATGTGAGTAGTCAGCTACACGCGCCGGTCGCTTTACCCCAGGAACCAGCTTAGATACCCAGATAAGCCGCTGTTTGGGCCCCAGAGTCGGTCTGTGCGCAGAGGAGAAAAAAATTCTTGCCCCTGCTGAGCGTCGTTAAATAAACCGAATATACATATACGTATGTAAATAAATATATAGCCTTGCGCTTCTTCAAACGTCCTCAAACTCTGTTAATTTTTTATATTATTGGAACAAATTGCGAATTTAATAAAATTACGCGCAAAGTACGCTGACCTGACTCGACTGTTCGGCGTAGACAGCTGATCAAACTGGCGGGCGCGGGCAACTCGCCCGCCTTTCTGCTCATAGTAAGCGAGTCGCCCTGGCGGGACAGGCGTGCTGCTGGTAAGCATGGCTGGATGTCAGTTGTGGGTCGCTAGTCAAAGCGGGCGGTTCGCTAGCGCGCGTAAGCATCACAGTGTACCACTAAGCGCGGCAACTGCAGACACTGCAGAGGCGGGAAGGACCTGTAGCCGCGATGTTGGGCGATGGGGCAGACAAACCACCGTATTAACTCTCGTTCCAGCCTGCCGTCCGAAGTGCACTGAACTGTGTGTTGCGTATGTGAGTGTTTGACCTTTACAGAGGTCTAGTGTCCAGTGTTTACACATACAAGTTTATGCAGGTGTAGTTTGAAGAATTTGGCAAAGGATTATTAATATTAAGGTAAGTATTCTCATTTGAAATCAGTAAATACCTTTCATTCAGTGCTGGCTACAAGGTTTTCTGTTGTCATTTTCATAGTCATGAAACATTTTGTCTCTTAACGTCGATGAGCAGTTACATTAAAGCTGTGACAAATAGTTTAACAATGCCGTAGCAATATTAATATTATTACGTAGCGTATGAGATGAGAAAGAACCTGTTCGAACCTCAGTTCCATCTGTCCCTTGGTCTACCTACCTCTCTCTTCCTTTTCTCTTGGACAGTATGATATGATTTGTTTTGGAAGACGCCCCTAATTCATTCTATTCAAATCCTCTTGCAAGTTTTTGTTACATATTTTTATTTTGTCCGCGGTCGCAGATATCTGCAGGTATGTCTACTTCCTCGATATGACATTCTATCCCCGCTTGTTTATCCCTTCACACCTCAAACGAATTTCATCTCAAATCTCAAATCCATGACCGTTCATTGTACAACAGAACAAGAAGCGTTAAGTATTTGTTAAATTTTCATTAATTGCCCCATTTTACTTCCTAAATAATATTCATTTCGTTGTTCCAGTTATATTTTCGTATTTAGCTAATTATGCTGTTTATCTGTTAACAATACTTTGATCCTTACTTTGTAAGGACAACAGAACAAGAAGCGCTAAATATTTCTAAAATTTTAAATAATTGCCCCATTTTACTTCCTAAATAATATTCATTTCGTTGTTCCAGCACTCGAAGCACGGGTTACTCTCTCTCTCTCTCTCTCACGTACCCAGAATGTGGGCTGTATAGTAGCATTGTATGACTTTACCATTGCCTCATCGCATGAATGTACTTTCATAAAAAATGTAAAATTATGGCTTTTCTGCTGTAAATCATCATCATAATCATCATCATCGGAAAAACAGCCATTTGTGAGCCATCCTTAGAAGATTCAGCCAGATTTGTAGAACATATGGTTGTCACTTCTTTGGATTTCGCAAAAAAATATATTTTTAAGGAGCGAAGTCATCAGCCTTGCCTCGAACCCCGAACGTGGAGGAACAGGTCTCGGTATTTATGTCCACCACTGACAGAGCTAGAACAGAGCTGGAGTGGAGTAATCTAGCCGGTTCCTAGATGGGATCAGTGTTAATACTGTTCGAACATACTAGTTTTTCTCAGTCCCTCCAGAAATGTAGCGCAATATTGCTTACAGGTCCTCCATCCCCTGCTTCTACATTTTGCCCTCCACGCTGTGTACCCTGAGCTACTGAGAGCGAGGTTAAATAAACCGTAAAAGAGCAAAGAGAGAAAGATACTGCTATTTACTACATGAAAAGTAATTTAAACGTTCGTTATCTGTGTTTCAGGCAGACTGTATGCTTAGGAAATTTATGTATTGCAGCGCCCATATATACATGCCGTATACATAAGTTAGTATTGTAATGAAACATAACTCTTCCGTTATGAACTAGCGTCTGTCTACTAATGACGCCGTATCTCCATTGTTTAGCTCGTCTTATTTATTGTGGTAGTCCTGAAACAAGAGTTTGCGCAGTGTAACACTCTACTTTCTGCAATAAAACTCTGGACTCGCCTTACATGGTGTCAAATGCCACTGCCTTTATAATTCACGAGCTGAAGTGCTGGGTTTTCCCTTGGGACATGGCTGCTTTCCTTGCCACGACACATGATACGCGTAGCGTGTAAAACCTTGGAGAAGGCACACGGACCATATTCAGAATCTCAGTAACTATATACAGTGGGCTGCGCCATAGCTCAAGCGGTTAGTCGCTGGCTTCTCACCGCGGCGGCCCGGGTTCGATCCCGGGTCTCGTCAAGTGGGATTTGTGGTGGACAAAGTGGCGCTAGGGCAGGTTTTCTCCGAGTACTTCGGTTTCCTCTGCCAATCTTCATTCTGCCAATAGCTCCACAATCACCCTCACCTATCATCTGGGCCCGGTACAATAGGCCAGAAGTGGCCGCAGAACAAGGGACTTAGTCCCACCCCACTAGCAATAAAAAAATATACAATTTGGGCATCAAAATTCGTACTGCGGCAAGAAACCCAACTACAACATTGAAAATGTGGTAGCCTATTTTGGGATGTGACACCGTGTAGCCTAATAAATAAGGTTTTTTTTTATTTGTTTCATTCTGGTCCGTCACACTAACAATATCATGAGAAGTTAAACAGTTACATAAATTGTAATAGTAACTTACAACTGTACTGATGTAAAGGTGTTCCTCTGATGATGGTCTCTGAAGACCGAAACATCTAAGGGTATAAATAATTGGAGGTGTAACTCCATGCATTCTTAACTTCGGTGTTGCTTAAAGATGAGTGAAGAGCTTCACGTTCCGGTTACTTTTACATGGGAAAGAACAGATATCCATTGAATTGGCAGGGTGTGCCCCACAGAAGGTCTGGAAACTGTGTAGAAGGGAAAACTTTCTGTCCCAGAAGTCGTGTATAAGCACAGAAAAATCTTAAAAACTGACTACCACGGCCCAAAACAATGAAAATAGTTTTTTATATATGGGCCCGGAAGTGTTTCGACAACGAACTAGAACCATTTGAATGTGTTCCGGCAACGGTAGGATTACAACTGTGTTTACGAAAGTGACGTAATTTAGTGACATTCAGAAGGAACCTGACTTAAGAGTGGCTGATATGAATGATTAATTCATTACCGAATCAACAGTTTATATAAACTAATTTCACTGTTTAGTGCCATATGACTTACCCTCCAATTTCTGTAATTCTTTCTGGGATATCTTGCATAAGGATAGTTTTCTTAATTGCAGTGCATGTGTTGAGTTACGACAACAGGTTAAATAACAGGGTTCCATGAAGCGTAGATTGATTTACATCTCCAATAAAATACTGTAGTCTACATATCTGAATATCTAACTGATCCAAGAAAACATCTTCAGGCCACAGTATAAATGATCGAGTTATTAACAACATCCATGTCAATATTTATGATAATTATACGCTCCACAATAAAATTATAATATTTTAAAACGGATCGTAAAGAAATAGGTAGGAGATTCTTGGCTTGGTTCATTAGCTTGCGAAAAGGAACAGTGGAGGGGTCCTATGAACACGATAATTAATTATCACGTTCCATAAAAAGGTCAGCAATTTCTTGACTGGCTGAGTAGCTATTTACTCCTCAAGTAGGATCGCCCTTCTTAGAGTTAATTACTGTATACTGATAATTTTTGAGGAGTGATCAGTAAGGAGATTTGAAATTCTCATGAGAATTAGTATGAAGATTACGGTATTCTGTGATATGACACCGTATAATTTGGTAGACGGACGTTAATATTTTAGATGAATATCTCGTCTCAATCTTCACGAGAGAAGACGAGGATGAAAGCAGTACATTCCATGAAGACGTTTTCACCCGTCAATCAAACTAAAAGGAGTCGCATCCCAGGGGACACCCTACTAATGACCAATTATACTTCTTACTACGAGCGTATGTTACATATTTCCCAAGAAGTTCTTTGCAGTTATAAATCTCACGCGTGCGAATACGGAACCGTTTCTATCGTAAATAGCAGGTGAAGCAAAATTGCTATTTGCTGAGGTTGTAAGAGTACGCAGAATTTCTGTAAGAATTAACAGTGTAAATATAAATAAAACTAAAAATAATAAACTCCGTGGCCGTTATTCCGCAAGCGAACTATACCGACCGAGCGACCGCCGCTTGTCGGTGAAGTTAGTGCCAACTTTTGCGTATAGAGGGTGTCACGTGGTCAGCGCAACGGACCCCCACGGCCGTTAATCACTGTTTTCTAGACCTGAGCCGCTACTTTTCCATTCAAGTATCTCCTCAGTTATCCTCACGTCGTTGAGTGGATTCCGTTACAGACCCACTACTTGTCAGAAAATCTGGTATCGCCGGGATTCGAACCCGGAATGTCTGAATATGTAGCCAGGAACTCTGACCACTTGACCACAGAGGCGGTCATATATATACTTCAAATAATTGTCACGTGCTTCACCATTAGCATCTGCACTGTTCTTCTTTATGAACTGAAATATCAATCGTAAAATAATTAGTTCAGAACACGGAAATCTGTAGGAATGAATTTAAATGCATAATGTGTGGGTAAGTCTTCATTTCAACGAGGTTAGTACGGGACTGTAATAATGGTGCTTTAAGGAGTTAATGTCGAAAATAATGTTTCCATTTGTAACCACTAAAATGTTAATTAAACGTTCTATTAAGCAAATTAATTCATTGTGTTGCACAGTCTTGCGGTTTATTAATGCCGTTTAACACTGCAGATGGAGAGGTGCCCCAATTTTACAAGGAAAATGGCCACTTCTAATGGAAAAGTACATAGATTGACTTCTTAACCATCAGAAAGTAAATGTATGGGGATGTACACTGTAAAAAACAACGTTATCTTTCAGCAAACTGTTGGACATCAGTAAAGTTACTGTACAGGTACAGTTCTCTCTCTCCTTAAATACTTAAGCACTATGCCATGAAGATATGTGGGGAGTGGAGGTATAGCTCCACCTTTCTTGACCTCGGCATCAGATGAAGATGAGTGGTCAGCTTCACACACCTGTTACTTTACTACCAGAGAAAGGGTCACAGTATCCAGGAGGCTGGGTGAGCCCCAGAGTCAGTCTGGATGCTGTGAAGGGGAGAAATATCTTGCAATCGGCCCCGGGCTGTCCAGCCCTTAGCCTGTCACAACACTGACTGAGCTATCCCAGCTACAGAATAACCTAAGTGACCGAAATTGTTTTAGCCAGGTATCGAATTTAATCCTTTGGAAGCCAAAGGAATCTCTGAAATTTTTGTCATTTCAAAACATAATTTGGTGTCCTTTGTATAAAATGAAGTAAAGCTATCTCTGTAGCAGGCCATGAAGGCCCATAGGGCTGTGAGATGTTGAGGCCTCCACATTATCTAGACAGTCGGCTCAAAGATGGCGGTAAGGTTGTCAGCCTTACGCGCCGGCCGCCCTTTACTCCCCACGAAACTTATTTAATTAATT